GAGGCAGCCGGCGCCAGAGCTCGGGGAAAGTAGGGGAGAGGTGAGGGGAGCAGGATTCCCCCCACCCCCACCCCTCCGCCCCAGCTCTGCCCACAGCAAGGCCGCGGGGTTCCCCGACGCAAAGGGGAGGAGCACGGGCTGTGGAATTAGGTGGCCTTTGCTCACTGTGTCAGAATGACCTTGGGCAAGTCACCTCCCCTCCCGGGGCCCCTGGGTGCTTGTCTGCAGCAGGAGATCACGCCCACCCCACAAGGGTGCAGGGATGAGTGATGTGATGTGTGTGACACAGAAGCAGGACTCTGGGGAGGTCCTGATCATGGGAGGAGAGGCCGGGCCCATCCGGCTCATGCCAAGAACACCTCGCTCAGGCCCCCCAACGCCCAGCCCCAGCTGAAGACACCTGGCTCTGGGTGGGGAGGCTGGGTGCCCAGCCTTTGCCTGCCTCCTCGGACTCGGGACACCCTGGGCCCTGCGGGAATGGAGGAAAGGAGAGTAGGGGCAGTCCTGCAGGTCACTGAGGAGGGGAGGGGGAGGGGGCAGTGTGAGGGATCGTGGGGGAGAACCAGGCCTGGACACATTCCAGGTGCAGCAGGTACATCTCCTCCTGACCCCAGGGAAGGGTGCCGTCACTCGCCTGAACACAACCTGGCTTGCTTTCATCTGCTGCCAACCCAGGGGCTCACCTCTGCCCAGAGTCCCAACCCATCCGGAGCCCCCACAGACCCAAACCAGATTTCCCACCTCTGGGCAGCTCCCGCCTGGGCTTTATCACTGCCAGGCCTTGTCAATCAGGGCAGCATGGGCAGGGGGGAGGGGCAGCAGGGATTCTGAGTGTCCTTCAGCAAGCCCCCAGGTCAGACCTCTGTCTGAAACCCAGGTGTCATCACGGCTCCTTCAGGGGTAGCTCTTCGCCCCCCACAAGTATTCACTGAGGGCACCGATGGGAAGCACCCGCCTACACTGCACCAGGGAGTCAACAGGACCCCAATTCAGAGCCCGGGCAGGATGGAGGAAGAGAGTAGAATAACCCAGGCCCAGGGAGCAGAGCCGATCTGCTCCCACGGGGAGACCTGAGCAATTGCTGTGTGACTGTGGGCAGGTCGTTCCCCTCTCTGAGCATCAGACTCCCTGGGAGAACCGCAGGGATGAGCAATTCCTGCCCTGGCTGCCAGATGAAATGACAGATGGCTTTGTGGAAGCATCCAGAGCTGTAACGAAACAGGGTGCTGGGGCCCTGCAGGGAAGGTGACCTCGGGGAGGCAGCCATCCTAGCCCTGGTCCCCTCCCCGACTCCCTCCCAGCAGGAGGAGCTGAGCCCAAAGTCATGCCGAGGGCAGGAGGCTGGGGCCCCAGTCAGCCCTGTCCGCCCCCAGGCAGAGACGCTGTCTCCCTGCAGCCCGGGGCTGTGCAGTGTCAGGTTATATTTAGCCTGATGGTGGCGACAGGAAGATGCAAAAGGAGCGGCTCCTGGACGGGGGCCACCGTGTCACTAACACAGCTCTCATGGGCAGCCAGGGGCCTAGGGAAGCCAGGGACATTACAGGCCCAAGGGACAGAGTGGGGGAGCCTGAGAGGCCAGCCAGTGAATGAGTGTGTATGCCAGGGGGAGAGACAGAGAGAGGGGGAGACCATCTCCTCGGCCTGCTCCAGGGGCTGAGTGATTGATGCAGGCACCCCCAGGGAAGACTCGCTGCAGGGTGTTGGGAGC